CTCTCTCGCTCTCTCGCTCTCTCGCTCTCTCGCTCTCTCGCTCTCTCGCTCTCTCGCTCTCTCGCTCTCTCGCTCTCTCGCTCTCTCGCTCTCTCGCTCTCTCGCTCTCTCGCTCTCTCGCTCTCTCGCTCTCTCGCTCTCTCGCTCTCTCGCTCTCTCGCTCTCTCGCTCTCTCGCTCTCTCGCTCTCTCGCTCTCTCGCTCTCTCGCTCTCTCGCTCTCTCGCTCTCTCGCTCTCTCGCTCTCTCGCTCTCTCGCTCTCTCGCTCTCTCGCTCTCTCGCTCTCTCGCTCTCTCGCTCTCTCGCTCTCTCGCTCTCTCGCTCTCTCGCTCTCTCGCTCTCTCGCTCTCTCGCTCTCTCGCTCTCTCGCTCTCTCGCTCTCTCGCTCTCTCGCTCTCTCGCTCTCTCGCTCTCTCGCTCTCTCGCTCTCTCGCTCTCTCGCTCTCTCGCTCTCTCGCTCTCTCGCTCTCTCGCTCTCTCGCTCTCTCGCTCTCTCGCTCTCTCGCTCTCTCGCTCTCTCGCTCTCTCGCTCTCTCGCTCTCTCGCTCTCTCGCTCTCTCGCTCTCTCGCTCTCTCGCTCTCTCGCTCTCTCGCTCTCTCGCTCTCTCGCTCTCTCGCTCTCTCGCTCTCTCGCTCTCTCGCTCTCTCGCTCTCTCGCTCTCTCGCTCTCTCGCTCTCTCGCTCTCTCGCTCTCTCGCTCTCTCGCTCTCTCGCTCTCTCGCTCTCTCGCTCTCTCGCTCTCTCGCTCTCTCGCTCTCTCGCTCTCTCGCTCTCTCGCTCTCTCGCTCTCTCGCTCTCTCGCTCTCTCGCTCTCTCGCTCTCTCGCTCTCTCGCTCTCTCGCTCTCTCGCTCTCTCGCTCTCTCGCTCTCTCGCTCTCTCGCTCTCTCGCTCTCTCGCTCTCTCGCTCTCTCGCTCTCTCGCTCTCTCGCTCTCTCGCTCTCTCGCTCTCTCGCTCTCTCGCTCTCTCGCTCTCTCGCTCTCTCGCTCTCTCGCTCTCTCGCTCTCTCGCTCTCTCGCTCTCTCGCTCTCTCGCTCTCTCGCTCTCTCGCTCTCTCGCTCTCTCGCTCTCTCGCTCTCTCGCTCTCTCGCTCTCTCGCTCTCTCGCTCTCTCGCTCTCTCGCTCTCTCGCTCTCTCGCTCTCTCGCTCTCTCGCTCTCTCGCTCTCTCGCTCTCTCGCTCTCTCGCTCTCTCGCTCTCTCGCTCTCTCGCTCTCTCGCTCTCTCGCTCTCTCGCTCTCTCGCTCTCTCGCTCTCTCGCTCTCTCGCTCTCTCGCTCTCTCGCTCTCTCGCTCTCTCGCTCTCTCGCTCTCTCGCTCTCTCGCTCTCTCGCTCTCTCGCTCTCTCGCTCTCTCGCTCTCTCGCTCTCTCGCTCTCTCGCTCTCTCGCTCTCTCGCTCTCTCGCTCTCTCGCTCTCTCGCTCTCTCGCTCTCTCGCTCTCTCGCTCTCTCGTTCTCTCTCGCTCTCTTGCTCTATCACTTGCTCTTTCCTCTCTTTCTCCCTTTCTCTCTCGTCTCTTTCTCCCTCTCTCTCTCTTCTTCTCCCCACCCCGCTTGTCCCGGTGGCATCACCCACTTCAGAATGTCAGCGACCTTTGGTTATCGATCACAAGCAGCCTGTCTCCGCCTTACGAGGGCAGGGATCTCTGCTCCGTTAACTGGTACTAAAAAGTGCTTAGCAAAGGCCGGGTCATAGCAGGCATCAAAATGTTGGCTATAAACCTTCTCCTTGAGGAAGAAGAAAAAGAGCAGTCTGATACTCCTGTTCCTGAAGACTTTCTATGTATTTCTTATGGGAGAGAGGGACAGAGGCAGAGGCAGAGCAGTCACCTTCCAGGGCCCTCACCGCAGTCCACCCAGCAGCGGCCCACTGCGTCACGCTGCCCAGGTGTGCGGGGCACCTCAGAACACAAACCGGGACCTTCCCATGGCCTCGGCACGGTGGCGTTGGGTTACTGCTGCGCCGGGTTACTGCTGCGCCAGCGTGACTGGCCCAGAGACTTCCAGATCAGAGCGAATGAGGAGTCCGAAGCACTGGGAATAATTCAGGGGACTCCAAGGTGACATTCCCAGCCTTACTGACTCTCGCTGTGTGGGCTCTCCAGGGGGTGTGTGAAGGCTGCCCTGTTCAGGAGGGTGCGCCTGAAAGACAATGGGACCTTGTTAACAGAGAGTGGGAGGAGGAAGGGCTCCACCCCTGGGCTTTCTGGGAGGCCGTCTGCTCTGAGCAGGGGTGGGCCTCCGCAGGTGCCTCGCAGCCCTCTGCTGTCACCCAGCGAGTGCCTAGAGCTTACTACAGAAATGTGTGATCTGTCTTATTCCAGTTAGGGGAAGGAGATCAGGGCGTGGAGGGAACGTGAGTTAATGTGGGCTCTTTATGTATCCCTAACATTTATCTATTTTATTAGAATGGCCTACATCAGAGGGTCCCAGATTCCAAGCCATAAAGGAGTGTCATTCCATAGTAAAATAGTAGTGTCCAAATGACACAAATTACAATATCTATAACCTTTAAGCCAACAATTCCATTCCATTCTATTTTTGCTTAGAAAAAAGCATCAGTTACAAATAAATTGATCACAAAATTGTTGTACCTACGAAGAAAATAAAAGCAGGCTGTCTACCAAGAGATCAACCTATCTGTGCCCTGCAAGGTCATCCCCGATGGTGTGGGAGCAAAGTTACTGGCATTTAAGGTCTTGATCCATGGCAAGGCACAGAAGCTGGGAGCGGGCGGGCAGTTACTCAGAGATGCCCGGGGGTAGGAGGGTAGTTACTTGGACAGAGACACCCTGAGGTGGGAGGGCAGCTACTCTGAGACACCCAGGGACCAGCAGTGTTATCTGAGCACCTGGAGGGTTGCTGCTGCTTTTCAGTTTTTCTGTTCCTATAACTTTTCCTTTATAATTAGAAATGTGGATGCATAAAATATATAACACTGCATGTCGAAGGCAGAGTCTGTGTTTGAACATTATATCTTCCTAAGTGTTGGATAGCTTCCTGATTTCTGGTACTGCAACATCTTGAGGTTTCTGAAGAGCTGTGCTCCTTTTCCTATGCTTGGAAGAAGAATAATGATCTCACGTTTCATGTATGATGGGTCTTCTCCGTGGCACAGCGCTGACGGCTGCTCGAGAGAGAGTGGCTCCCACAGCGTGACTGAGCCCCAGCTGGCCTGGAACACAGCAGGGACCACACTGGCCCCACACCCTAGTGGCTGGAGAAAGCAGGAAGGGGTCGCAGGGTAACCGTGGCTGGAGGGTGCTCACCTCCCTCTCTCCCTCTCACTTCAAAGTGCATGCACACACTGTCAGGAATGAAAAAAAAATTTAAAGGAAGTCAGAGATATTAAAAAATGGCCAATGGAAAAAGCATATCGTGAAAGATGTCGTAGGGATTTAAAAATATTTTTACATCAAAATAAACTCTTGGACGCATTTTCCCACGACTTTGAAGCCCTCCACTCCCGTGTAGCTCTGTGTGCACACGTGTAGGCGTGGGAAAGCCTCGAGTCACAGACGACACGAGTGTGCCCCGTGTCACAGGGCAGACTTGCACACTCACCTCCAGGGCCGGCCAGGGCAGCCTGGGCTCCGGAGCTCACATCTGTCTGCTGGCCAGCGCTGTGCCTTTCCTCCTTCCAAACGTATTTACTTCTGAGGGGCCTGGAGGGTGTCTGTGCTGTGACCGCCTCTCCCATGGTCGGCTGCATTTGGGACAATGTGCTCTCCGTCCCCTTTGGACCTGGCTTGAGAATACCAGCAAAGTAAATTAATCGCGTGACCGCGTTGCAGGGACGGGTGGAGCTCCTGTCGAATAAGCCGAGGGTACATCAGCCTTCACACCAGGGGTTCTTGAAGACTCCACACCTCCCGTGTTACACAGATCTGGGCTGCGGCCCTCCTCCCAGTCCCTGAGTCCGGCTCCTGGGGACAGTGTCCCTCCACTCGCTCCGGCCCCAAACCTCCTTGGCACCCCTGTGTCCGCCCTCCTCCCTCACCCTGACTCAGTCCCTCACCAGTTCACACAGGGATGTATCCGGAGTTATGCCACCTCGGAACCCGCCTCCCTCCCACTCCTGTGTGTTCACCCTTCCCTGCCGGTAGTGGCCTCCCCAGAGTGCCTGCAGCCTCGGGCCTAGGCACAGCTCAGAACCCAGGTCAGTCCACCCCACTGAGCGCAGCCTGACTGCCAGGTCCTGCACTTCAAGGATGTGCTAGTCCTCCCGGGGTCTCCCAGGCCCAGTGTGCCACCTCCCAGGCCCAGTGTGCCACCTCACGGTCCTGTCACCTACCTACCCCATGGCCCAGCCACCCTGGCTCTGCTGTTCCTCCCACGCACCAGGCGTGTCCCTGTCCTTCTGCAAGGATGGCCTCCCCGGGCGCCCAACCCACTCCTGGCTCTCCCTCTCCGCTCAGCGACTGCTCAGCAAGGCCCTCCAGCCGCCGTCAGCACCTCGAGTGTCCCCACTGCAAACCGTGGAGTACCCTGACTGTCTCCTCCCAGAAAACTCGTGTCCTGAGCGGTCAGGGAGCGCTTAGGACATGTCTGGCACAGAGAGGGACTCAACAAAAATGAGGGCACTTCAAAAGTCTCGGAAATGGAAAGTACGAGTTTATTTTGTTGCACAAAAGCCTGAAAGTGCATGCGTACATTCTCCAGAATATGCATCCCCATGAACTTCTCGAAGGCCTCTTATATATAATGAATATTTATTGAGTTAAAAGTTATTTCTTGATTATATTTAATGTCAAATATTTACTGGGAGCTAGAGTACTGTATAGATGTTTGCCATGCCCAAATATCCTTTTAAGTCAAGGAAGACACGCCATGATTTCTGCATAAGCGCTAGACCTTGCAGGTGTGTGGTGTTGCTCTACGCAGACTCACCGAACCACAGAGCAAGTCCTGTCTCAGATGCGACTCTGTCGGGCGCAGGCGTGGCTGTTTCAGCGGCTGTTCCCATCATCACCTTCCCCGTCTCTCTCTTGCTTTTCTTTTCCAGAAAGGAGGCACAATTGGATGAAGAAGGGCAGTTCCTTGTCAGAATAATATACGACGACTCCAAAACCTACGACCTGGTGGCTGCCGCGAGCAAAGTCCTGAGTAAGTCGAGTGGCCAGGCGCTCACGCCGCAGGGTGCTCGGGGATGCAGGCAGCACCGGGCGCCCCAGGCTGCTCACGCTGCAGGGTGCTTGGGGACGCAGGCCACACAGCACCTGGTGCCCCGGGCCGCTCACGCCGCGGGGTGCTCGGGGAGGTCCTAAGTAAGTCGAGTGGGCCGGGCGCTTACGCCAGGGGGTGCTTGGGGACACCGGGCCGCTCACGCCGCTGGGTGCTCGGGGAAGTCCTGAGTAAGTCCAGTGGGCCAGGCGCTCACGCTGCAGGGTGCTCGGGGACGCAGGCTGCAAGCACCGGGTGCCCCGCTGCTCACACTGCAGGAGTGCTCAGCGACGGGATGCAGGTCTCACCGGGCACCCTGCCGCTCACACTGCAGGGGTGCTCAGGGATGCAGGCTGCACCAGGCACCCCTCTGTTCACACTAGAGAGTGCTAAGGGACGCAGGCCGGCCGCACCGGGTGCCCCGCCGCTCACACAGCAGGAGTGCTCAGCGAGGCAGGCCGCACACCGCTGGATGCCCTGGGGGTCTGAGTGCTGCTGGTGCTGGTTCAGCCTCCCCATGCTCATAGAGTGGAGAGAGTGTGTGCTCCCGCCCCGCCCACAGACGCACGTACTGGGGAGGGGAGATTGGCGCTGACTGGAAGAGCTGTAGTTACCCTGTCAACAACGCAGAAACTACCGGACACAGGACACAGGAAACCTTGTCCCCCAGTCTCTGCAGTCACAGTCGTGCTTGCTATTGGTACAGACACTGGAAACTGAGAGCCACTCGAAACACGTCACGGAGAAAAAGTTGTTCTCGGGGTAGCAACTGCGATTCCCTGCCTCCTTTACAGCATGCCTGCAGCTCAGGTGGAAGAGAAGGAAGCTTTCGGGTCTATTAACTATACCTGGAAAAGGTGGATGCCGCGTGCACAGAACACAAGAATTACCAAAAAGCTGGTTGATAATAAGAAAAATATCCAACCTTATTAGTAACCAAAAATTAAAACAAACATGAAATAACTTTTCTTATAAATCTGACAGATTTTAAAAATGAAATACCTAATGTAATCAAGACTAAATAGTAAAAACATATGCATTTCTAAAAAAATAATTATTTATTCAATTTTATATTTCCTACAGGGCACATGCACTCACCAGAGGAGAGAGAGAGGCAGGGGAAAACAAGCCTCTAGGCCCAGGGCTTGAACTGTGGGTGGCCCGGGGGCAGGCCCGGGCCCTTACCACCCCA